ACCACTTCTGAGCCAGCAGCTGCAGAATTGAATACAAGTAATATTTTACTATATTTAGGGAGGCAAGAAGGGGCCAGGGTGGTGGTTTTAACATAATAGGGTAAGAAATACATGATTGTGTTCCTGACACTATAGTGCTCCTTTAAGCAAGAGTATGTGAAGAGTAGTTAAGGTTGCCACCTTTCTTGGAAAAAAATACCAGCCTTAATCATTTGCATAATTAATTAGTTATGCGTGTAAATCACAAGGAGTGACATCAGAGAAAATTCTGTAAAATCACCAACAAACTACTCACAATCTGATTCTGCTGTATAGATGGATTGCTCCCAGTGTCTCACTGTCTCCTAGTGTCTCAGTCTTGCAAGTCACCCTGTGTCTTAGTGTCCCTATGTATCACAGTGTCAGTGTCCCCATCTCGCCCAGTCCCCTAGTCTCCCAGTGTCTGTGTCCCAATGTCTCAATGTGACCCCATGTCACTAGGATACTGGGGACACTGAGAGACATGGGGACACTGAGAGACCCGGGGACACAGAGACATGGGGACACTGGGAGTATTGGGGACACTGAGACATTTAGGGAAACTGGGAGAAATGGGGACACTGAGACACTAGGGACACAGACACTGGGAGACATGGGGACACTGAAACATTTGGGGACACTAAGACACTAGGGACACAGACATGGGAACACAGACACTGGGAGACTAGGGGACACTGGCTGGGAGACAGACACTTGGGGACACTGGGAGACATGGGGACAGTTGTGGACATAGACATGTGGACACTGGGACATATAGGGACACTGGGAGACATGGGGACACCAGGCACACTGAGACACTAAGAACACAGACACTGGGAGACATGGAGACACTGAAACATTTGGGGACACTAAAACACTAGGGACACAGACACTGGGAGACTAGGGGACACTGGGAGATTAGGGGATACTGGGATACTAGGGGACACTGGCTGGGAGACAGACACTTGGGGAGACATGGGGACAGTTGTGGACATAGACATGGGGACATTGGGACACATGGGGATACTAGGCACACTGAGAGACATGGGACACAGACACTGGGAGACTTGGGGACACTGAGATCCTAGGGATACTGGCTGGGGGACATAGTGTCTCCGTGTCCCAATGTCTCCAAATGTCCCTATATCTCACAGCGTCCCCGTGTGTCTCAGCATCCCCATGTGTCCCTAGTGTCTCAGTGTCCCCATGTTTTCCAGTGTCCCCAGGTCTCACAGTGTCTGTGTCCCCATGTGTCCTAGTGTCTCAGTGTCCCCTAGTGTCTGTGTTCCCATGTGTCCCCTAGTGTCTGTGTCCCCTAGTGTCTGTGTCCCCATGTGTCTCAGTGTCCCCATGTTGTCCAGTGTCTGTGTCCTAGTGTCTCAGTGTCCCCATGTTTTCCTGTGTCCTAGTGTCTCAGTGTCTCCTAGTGTATGTGTCATCATGTGTCCCCTAGTGTCTGTGTCCCCTAGTGTCTCAGTGTCCCCATGTGTCCCCTAGTGTCTCAGTGTCCCCATGTGTCCCTGCTGCCTTCCCCCCCATCCCTCACTTACCTGAGCTGTAGAGCTGCTGTCTGGACTGTCTGCGCTGTGTAGTTGCTCCCCCACGGATCAGTGAGTAGTAGAGAGAGGCAGGGATATTCTGTAATTTCCTATGCCTGCCTCTCTCCACACACAGTGACCCCTACTGGCCGGTGCTGGTATTGCAGAGTAATCTCCGTTTATACTGAGACTAATATTTGCATTTGTTTTGCTGGTATTACTGCAATACCGGCACAGCCAGGCAACCTCAAATACCATCTGTGCCATTAAAATACCAGTCAGGTGGCAAACCTAAGAGTAGGTTTAAATGGGCCTATTCCATGGGCCTGGGCCTGGGCCTGGAGCTGCAGCTCCATCAGCCCCTATGTTAATCTGGCCCTGGGTAAGGTAATTTCTTTTCTATTAGTAACCACTTAGGTATATTGTTTAGTACATTACATTTTAAGGCTGCTTCTGTGTTCGTTGCTATATAGCATTCATTAAAGCCAGGAACTCTTAAAACTCCATATTTCTTATGTCTTTGTAGTATTGCTAAATGAATTCTATGTGAGTTATATCCGAATTAATTTTTTTGAATACTGAATTAGGAACATTTATGAGTTCTTATAAGAACTTTCGGGGACAGGGTCAATTTAAGGACTGCTATACTACCCATCCATGACATATCCAAATTGTCCCATCTATGTTATTCAGCCTTCAGTTCTGACCATTTCATCTTGAAATTTCAGTTAAACATATCATTCAGATTTTTAGTCAGTTTTATGCCCAGAAAGGAAACATAAGCTTCTTTCCGGTACCGACACGGTGGAGGGAGAGGCCAGTACAGTCTCCATCTCCGTCGGGTGCAGAGTGTAATGGTCTGCAGCTCTGCACCCGGAGGAGCTGCATACTGGACCACCAGGGAGGGATACCACTGGACCACCAGGGAATGGATTCCTGCATTAAAAAAAATAAAAAAAAAATATATATATATATATTTTGTGGGGAGGCTGGTCACACTGTCACCCCCCACACAGCCACCCTCATACACATGCACTGTCGCCTTCTACACGCACACTACCCCCCCACCACAGTCACCCTTACCCATACACTGTTAGCCCCACCCCCCACAAGTCAACCCAGTAATGAAAGGAAGACAGACACATACACTCACAGACACTCACACACACACTTACAGACACACACACACACACTTACAGGCACACACACATACATTCACACACACACATACATTCACAGACACACACACATACACATTTACAGACACATACATTCACAGACACAAATACACACACACACATACATTCACACACACTTACAGGCACATACACATACATTCACAGACACACACACATACACTCACAGACATTCACAGATACACACACACACATTCACAAATTATTATTTTTTTATTAAAAATTGTCCACCCAGCCTCCCTACCTGGAGAGCTGGCGTGGACTTGTCCCTGGGGTCCAGTGGGTCGGGTGCCTATCTCCATACAAGAAGAGGCGAGTGAGCTGTGTGCTCTCTGCTTCTACTCTGACGTCATATTCCGGCTCCCGCCATCAGCAAATGGCGCGCGGCGAGAGGGAGCAGAGTGCACACAGCTCCCTCGTCGCTTGTTGTATGGAGATAGGCGCCTGACGGGGTGTACATCACTTCTTGCTCCCCCCCATGACAGGGGGAACATGGGGGAGGGCATTTGGGGGCGGCAGAGTGCATGCAGGAACGGTGTTCCCAAGCGTTCCTGCAGGACTCAAAGGTGTGCTGCGGGGATTAGGGTGTGCCCAGGCACACCCCGTGCGCACGCCTATGGATAGAATGAAAGGAGGGGGTAAAAAGTGAGGGGTGATATTATGAAAGGAGGGGGTAAAACGTGAGGGGTGATAGAATGAAAGGAGGGGGTAAAAAGTGAGGGGTGATAGAATGAAAGGAGGGGTAAAAAGGGGTGAGGAAAGGAGGGGGGTAAAAAGATGATAGAATGAAAGGGGGGGTAAAAAGTGAGGGTGATAGAAAAAGGGAGGGGGGGTAAAAGTGAGGGGTGATAGAATGAAAGAGGGGTGGTAAAAAGTGAGGGGTGATAGAAGAAAGGAGGGGGGTAAAAAGTGAGGGGTGATAGAATGAAAGGAGGGGTAAAAAGTGAGGGGTGATAGAATGAAAGGAGGGGGTAAAAAGTGAGGGTGATAGAATGAAAGGAGGGGGTAAAAAGGGAGGGGTGATAGAATGAAAGGAGGGGTAAAAAGTGAGGGGTGATAGAATGAAAGGAGGGGGTAAAAAGTGAGGGGTGATAGAATGAAAGGAGGGGGTGAAAAGTGAGGGGTGATAGAATGAAAGGAGGGGGTAAAAAGTGAGGGGTGATAGAATAAAAGGGGATGTGTTAATGTTGGCTGCTAGTTACTGCCAAGCTGTGCAGCTCTGCTGTGTTGGCATTTATAACATTAGAGTATCAATGAGCTGTATTAACGCCTATCAATATAATTATTATTTATTTCCACTGTCCCTGGTGAGAGGTGTGCTAGCTCCCCTCCAGGCTGGGCTCAGGCTGGGCTCAGACTGCCTGACACTGAACACACCGCTTCCATCTTAGCCCATTCCAATTCTCCCGCCTCTCCGCACACTGCCACGTCACACCCCGGAGCGCGTCGGCGACGTCACCGTGTCCTGCGTTTTGATTGGACGCCGGTCAGAACTCCCCGGTGACGTTGCGCTGTGTCAGCGGTGGGCGGGGCCCGGCAGACAGCGAGCTGTTGTGCCAGTAGTAGCGAGTGGAAGCCAGAGAGAGAGGCGGCGGCTGTGAGGTGGCCGTGCCCCCGCTGCAGGTAAAGCTCTCCCCGGGCAGGCTGCAGGCCCTGGGCCGGGAACCTAGAACGCCAGCCGCCCGCGGGCCACTCAGAGCTGGCCGTGCTAGCCGGGTCTCCGCGGGCAGAGGCCTGTGACAGGCTGTCATTCATGCAGGTGTAATGGCAGCCCCCATGTGGGAGCCAGGCAGGGTCTCCGCACTCATTGAGCTGCCTGGCATTAATAAAAGGCCAAACCCAGGTCAACCATGGCATGCCAGCCCCCATGGACTGTGCTTCCCATGACCCTCAGCCAGACTGACTTCAGGATGATTGTGATGAGAAGTGTAGTCCACAGTAGGTGTAATCCCATTAGACTCCATTGCTACCCTGGACTGTGGCTCCCATGACCCTCAGCCAGAATGATTTCTGGCTATGTATGATGTGAGGGATGGTCCACAGTAGGTGTAATCCCATTAGACTCCATTGCTCTAGTTCACTCGGACTCTGAGACTGGCATGCCCAAGCTTGGACACTTTTGCACTGGCACATGCTATAGGTAGGAATTCTGGTGATGGGAGTTGTGCTCCAGCAGCAAGAGGGCTGCTTGTTACTTACATTCAAAACAAGCTTTCAAACCTTTGCCTGGCCAGGCATAAGCAACCTTCGGCACTCCAGATGTTTTGGACTACACCTCCTATGATGCTTTACAGAATGATGGGTGTAGAAGCATTATGGGGGATGTAGTCCACAACATCTGGAATGCCGAAGGTTGCCTATCCCTGACCTAGTCATAAAGGCTGTGTGATAAAACTCACTTTACCAGGCTTTTCAGCAAAGTGCTTTGATGGCCATGGTACCTTCAGGAGGAATACTATGTACTAAAGTATGCTGGAATGCTTTAATTATTAATATACACTAAAAGTCTTGCCATACAACTCCACATTACACTGTTTGTGACTACCATAAACCTTTTATGTATATTCTGCAATAATTGTATAATAATACAGACTGTGAGTATATTTGCAGTCATATACTTGTGTATGTTTAGACTGAGTATATTTGCAGTTGTGTACCTAATTTTACTTTTAAAGTGTTCTATTGATTTTTATTCATGGCTAAGGAGATAATAAAACTGTTAAGTCCTGCAGTTATTCAGTAAACTACAAATTATTCAAAATTTGCTAAATAATTGCATATTTTATTGCCAACATCGATGTCCTGGAAATAAAGTTAAAAATGTACTTTTTTTTTTTTTTTTTTTTTAAATCAAACTTTTAAAAGTCAAAGATATCACAATTTAGTGAACAAACAGAGTAGTGTTTTTTGATTAGTGTCAAGTGACATTATTTAGTGAGAATTTAAGTTTTCTGAGGGAATCCTTATTGTGTGAGTTTAGTTACGTATCTGTGCCTTGAATATTGTACATATAGGCCAAAATGGCCTAGTTTGATCTGAATTCTATAATTTTTCTAACTCTATAACTTCTATTTAGATTCTTCAATTTGATTTTGAACTTAGTTTAGTAATATGTGCTCTTCTGATTATCTTCTACACTCATGCATAACTCCCTTGCTATATTTTGATATCCAGATTGGATGATACATTCTTGTTACACTGTAAGATTTGCTTTTAAATGTGATAGGGATTTTGTAAGTGCATACCAGCGGTTTATTCAGTGTGACTCTTGGGTTTAGGTGATATAATGTACCAGGGTACGTTCTACTTACCACACTTTATGATCAGTGAGATTTAGTTACACCTTCACTAAAACCATAACCAGTACAATGTGTTGTAGTGGTTATAGTATCATGACTGTCCTGGCAGTTACCCCTATTGTAAGTAGTCAGACCATTGTAGAATGGTTTGATGTCTGTCTTTGGGTCCGCTGTCAGCTTCCCCTGTCTTAAGTAATTCAGGCTGAAATCTCATTGTTGTCTGACCTAAGCCTGGTGGTGTAGGGCTTATCTCATTGGCTGAGAGTGATCAGCTGACACTTTCAGCAAATGTGCTTGATCTGCTCTGTAGGGCCTAGCTCAGGAGAACCGACTGAAGCGCCTGCTTAGGAAGCTTCCATGTCTACGACTTAAGTACTGGACGCTCGGAGAAATACCCTGGTAGACCCCAGGTTCTAAGTACAACTGTTCTAAAATGGTTTGACTCCTGACAATGGGAGGTCAGCCATCAAAGCACTCCTACCACTAAATTGAAATTAGCATTATTTAACATTTTTATCTCTTACAGGATTATTGGGGTATTCAGTTTCAATGTTTATATTGTATTTCTTATTGTACCATATTTAAACCATGGCCTTAAATATTGGCATAGAAGAACAGATATAAATTTGCCACATGTATAAAGATGCAACTAAATGGATAAATTGTGAAATATTTGCTTATGGGAATTTGTAGGGAATCTGATATCATTTTGTGGTTTGCATGTTTCCATAAAATGGTACAAGAATCTAAAAATCTCAACCTGGAAACAATACTGCACGTACACCCAGTGTTAAAACCTCTTCTACGTGCCTGCTTGAATGCACCCAGTGCTGCAATAAAGGTTTCATCGGACAGGACCTGAAGATTAAAGTGGGCCTAATCTTCAGAATTAACCTAGCCTTTCCTGCTTAGCTGCTAATTCTCATTCTTTAATATAATCTGTTTAATGACTAATTGAAACACGAAGTTTAGAGATGGTGGTGCTGTCACCAATTCATTGCGTTCTTTCCTGAGGCAGTGAGCTTTACACAAGACATTTGTGAAACCCTGCATGCACCTCATTGGCTTTGCTCCCAAGGTTGTTTGTAAAGACCCATTTAATGGTCTATTCACATACCCATTAGAGTTGGGCTAAAAGGACGCTGTTGACTCCATAACTTGCAGCCTTTCAATGATATTGAAGGTTTGGATGGATAATGCAGAAATGAAATGTCTGCATTACCTGAAGGGCAGCACTTTTGTTGTCAGGAGAGCCCTCGTTTTTCTCCTTGTGCTCCCCATTTGTCAAGAAACGGGAGGTGGTGGGCGTGCCACCAAAAGACTCCATAACCGTTTACACCTTTGATTATAGTGCGTAGAGCCTTTTACCAGATTACCAGATTGAGGTGTCAGTTGTTAGTATTGTTCAGGTTAACCATATTGCATGTAATCAGACTCCGTTATGTGTGTGTGTGTGTGTGTAAAAAAGACCCAGCAGGGTCGAAACTTTGATCTAACCGCTGTATGGAAATTTAATACAATAAATCAGTTTGCGAATACAAGACCTGTGAGTGCCTCCTGGATTTCTACTTTACATATTGGACGCAATTGGAGTTGCATCAAGGCAAGTTTTGCTCCTATATTTTTTGAAAAGGTGAGTGTCAAGCCATCAGAAATTTTGTATATGTATATGTATATATATATATATATATATATGTGTGTATATATATATTGTATTTTCCGGCATGTAAGACGACCCCCAACTTTTCCAGTTAAAATATAGAGTTTGGGATATACTCGCCGTATAAGACTACCCCTCTTCCAATGCACACCAAATAAAAATTAGCCATGATGTACAGTGAGCAGACAGAGCTACACAGCAAGACATTAAATAATGATAATCTGAAATAGCATTTAAAGCCCAGGTATGTGCCAGGCTGTTTGGGCATATAATCCATGCCTGCTGGTCTAGCACACAGGAGGCTAATTGCAATATATTCTCCTTCCCCCCCATTCTTTTTACCCCACCCATTCTTTTTACTCCCCCCCACCCCCAATCCTCCCTACATTCTTCTCACCTCCCCTTCCCTGTGCAGAGTGGGTGGCCGAGTTCCTTTTCGTCCTGTCAGTCCGGCCGGGTACCGCGCGGTACAGGAGATTCAGTGTGCACTTCCTTTCAGTCCAGCCGAGAACAGGTAACTGAATCTCCTGTACCGCGCGGTACCCGGACGGACTGACAGGACGAAGAGGAGCTCGGCCACCCACTCAGCACAGGGAAGGGGAGATGAGAAGAGAGGCAGTGCGGCAGCCGTCTGAGCGCTCTCTATAGAGCGCTCAGGTGGCTGCAGCATTAGAAGGGCTGGCGATGGGGGCGCAGGGCGCCCCCGGCAGCCATATAGACCCTATACCCGGCGTATAAGACGACCCCCGACTTTGAAGATTTTTCAGGGTTAAAAAGTCATCTTATATGCCAGAAAATACTGTGTGTGTATGTGTGTGTGTGTGTATGTATATATATATATATATATATATATATATTTTTTTTTTTTTAGCAATAGAAGCTTGGCACTCTCCTTCCAATATGAAATAAAAGAAAAATCTTGCCTGGATGCTGTATCGACAATCGTCCAATATGTAGAATAGATAAAAAAAACAGGATGCACTCACAGGTCTTCCAAATAGTGCTTTATTAATCAATATCTATATGCATCCTATTGATTAATAAAGCACTATTTGGAAGACCTGTGAGTGCATC